TGCAGAGCATGGAAGGCCGGTTTCCATGGTCCATCGTTTTCAGCATCTCTTCCTTGGACAGGTAAGCTCCTCCATTCTTCAAACGGATGCCTGTTTTCATGTAATTGAAGTCACGACCGTAGAGCTCAAAGAACTCAATCAGCAGGATGCCCAGGTTTATGTTGGTGCGTCGTGTGTCAATCCGAGGATGTAACTAGTTGACAGGATAGCAACAATAACAGTTACAAGTTTAAATGAAACCTCCAAAGTTTGAGCTCATGTGCTGGGAAAAAAAAAGTGTTTTTTGCAATTTTCATCATCCCTGCTGAAGAACTTTGATTCAGATAATCATATTGTGAAATGTCTAAAATGTATTTTAACTTAATTCCATGATAAAATGAAAGCTAATATTTAAGCTGCCTCTGCCTATCACAGATTGACTTGACTGTTTGAGCCTACACAGTGACACTCAGGTGCTTTATCTAAGAAGTTTCTTCCAAGAGGCTTACATTTCTGCAGCATACTCTTTCAAAGTAACAAAAAAAATATCAGCAAAATTTATTTTTATCCAAATAAACTACATGCATTTGAGTATTCAACCAATTATTCAGCTTGTGTGCCCTGAAAACAGCTCTATAACACCAAAAGCGACTGACGCCTATTTTACCAACAAATGCTCTGTTGACACATTTGCTATAAATGCTGCCACATCCCCTTCCACATCAGGGTAAGAATGCTGGTCAGAACTTGAGCAAAAATTACCCCAGCTGGGTTACATTTGAAAAATTTTAGTTTTATTAGAAGCTTTTTCACAGATTATTTTCCACTGTGGCCATTTTCAAGCTAACTGGAATCCCAATGGAGCATTTTTTTTAAATCACGTAGGATGCTGGGCAGATCAGTGTCCAAACTAGGCAACATTTATCTTTACTGGACAAAAGACCATATAAAAAGCACTCAGTGTAGGCCACAGCATTCACAATAGGGCACTCCCATTACCATCTTCTTGGGTGGTTATTGAGATAAACATCATCAACTCCCAAGCTTAATGTTCTATATCCCATGGAGCCTTTAGCTCACTTTCTTTGGCATTTTTTACATTACATATTTAATAGTAAGGCATTTTTCCACAATAGATTATACAACTTCACAAAAACAGCGAGTAAGTATTAGCATGTCGCAATGGAAATGCACATTTTTGAAACATGAGTACTGCATATGTTTGCGCACCTGCAAGAAGCTGATGGCCATTAGTATAAGGCTGTATGAGCTGATGCCTCCAGTAAAGACTTCGTTCAGATCCCTTTGGAAGAGAAACTGCTTCAGAACGAAGATCAAGGGTGGAAGAACTGTGTATTTCTACAAAACCAAAAAGGAAGTCTTACAAATCCAAACATTTATAGTGGGCCCTTTAAAAATATAAAGTACCTGAAACTGACCTTAAGGTAGCTTTTGATGAACTGTGCTGCTTTCACTGCAGTCTCCACATTGAAGCTGATGTCCACTTTGACCTTTGTCTCATGATCAGTGAGTTTAATAATTGGAACCTGAGATCACACATGCAAATCATTTAAGAGCTTCAGCATGAAAAACTTTACAATTTTCTGAGTAAACTCACCCGTCAAAGGTTTAAAAAAATAAAAATAAAATCTTTACACTACTCACTGTAGCTTTGTCAAGGACTTTGATAGGATAATTGCCGGCCACGTTGTGTTTTTTAAGCGCTTGTTCGAGATCCTGAAGTGGGGGACGATCCCACTTCCCAAACACCACAAGGTCAATGTCACTGAAGAGATAAAACATGCAAACATCTGCTACCTAAAGCTTAATCTATACCTGTGGTAGGCATTTATACACAGACCTTATGGTGCGTCAGAGCAAACAACTGCACAAAATGTATATTATCTGTCTCATTTCATATCTCCACCTCCACTGTGGAAAATTATATTCTATAAAAAATATCAAAAGTCAACTTTCTGCTTCCATGCAAACCAAAGTGAAACAAGCAAAAACAAATAACTCTACTTTTGGTTGGTATATCAAGATTTAGTGATGTTCCACTTCCAAATGAATGAAATCACAAAAAAATATTTATTCAGAGATGGAGAGACAAACAAAAACAATACCTTGTCGGAAGATATAAACCTGTGCTGAAGCTGCCAAAAATTTGCACCTGCAGAGAGATGAAACGATACAAACCGGACTTAAATGCAACTACATCTAAATCAATTTCAAAATAGACAAAGCTGTCAACGCTTGATTTTTTTTTTCATGCGAAGGCTTTCAGACAGTGGGAAAGTGTATCACTTTAATAAAATATGCCAGTCTTGAAGCCTATCTATTTCTGAGGACTAAAGACTAGAGAGTGGAGAATATTCAGGCATACAAGAATGGCTGGAAATCCAGACAGTGCTAGCGAAAAGGTAATACAGTGGCATTGGTTTTAAAATCATTTATTGACACTGATGGATAAATTAGGTTAGTCCAACAAAATTGACTTGTGATTTGCAATGTTACAGTTTTACAAAGCTATCCAAAATGAACTCTTGCTAATGCACTTGCATTAGTGTTATGATGACACTGTAATTGTAGAATGTTTCAAGTGGACGCTTGGAAAGCACTGAAGAGAACAGGTTAAAAATTGGAGCTATGTCATTTGCTTAGGATGTGAACAGCACTACTTTTTGGTGATAAACTTGAGAATTCTGTAGAACCCTTCAGTGTTCTACAGAATTCTCATCAAAGCAGGATTCACCAGAGATGCTTCCAGTCTTCAACTGTGCCACACTCTCATGTCCCACTCACCCGAGCTGTAGGCCACAAATTCTTGATGATACTTTCTATTCTGTTCACTACATCCCTTCTCATGGCCTCCTCCTCGGGTCTTGGGGACATGAAGCTGAAGAAGTCCATTATTTCCTCGTGTAAACTGGAGAGAGAGAGAGGAAAAAAAAGAGGACAAAACTCAATGTTAAATGCTTGCGTGAAAAAGGAGACAACGTGTTCCGTATCCATTAATTTAATACGGCAGCTGATAATGATGAATCATTATGTTCTCTTACCCATTAATGCCCGGGCTGTAGCGCCGGGTTTTCCACAGGCTGTAGGAAGAGTCTACGTAGGGGGCATTGATGTCGTAGGAGAGGAGCGGGTTGAAGGCGTGGAAAGTGTTGGCCCTGTTCAGATGCTTCCTGCGGCCGGGTGGATGTGATTGATAGTGCTGCTGCTTGCTCCCCGGATGGCTCTTCATCCCGGTGGGGGTGTGGCCGCCGGGCTGTTGCATGCTGCGACAGTGTTGCTGGACAGCGTGAAAAGGCTGCCTGAGGCTGTTCTCGCTCACCTTCCGCTCGCCGTAGTGCAAAAACTGCTCGGCCTCGTCCGCCGCGCTCAGGCTGTCGATCTGAAGCGAGGAGCCGTGGGGAGAGGAGCTGTCGGCCTCCGAGTCCAGAGAGGAGGAGGACGGTGACAAGGAGCCCTTCCTCCGGACAATTCCCCTCTCTCCGCCGCCGCCGCCGTCTGCCCGCGGCAGTTTACCAAACACAGTCCCGGGTGTCGGCACTACATGCCTGCAGCTCTCAACGTAAGAGCCCAAGTTTGCATTTTGTACCGCAAAGTTGCGCTGGTGGTGAGGCTGGTTGTCGAGGCCGGGATGTGCTCCGAATGCCTGCGAGGTCTCCCAAATCTGCATCCACAGGGAATTGGCCGGTCCCTTCTGCTCCGGCTGAATCCAAACGTTCCTGGGATCCATTGGTCTCGAGTTGACCGAGAACCGTCCGCGCAGAAACGACCAATACAAGCAACTTCGCAATTTCACGCGTTACACTCGGGGACACGAAACAAAAAAAAAGTAAAACAAAAAAAAATCATGCGGTACCGTTTCACAAGATTTTTCCGAAAAGCTTCATGTCTGGAGACTGGTTTGGTTGGTCAAGCGGGTCGGCCAAACTCCTCTCCCCTTAAAAGGCAGGCAATATGGCGCAAGCAACACCACTACGGTTCACCAACCGCTCATCTGTGAGGGATTTAAATCTTTGAACACACCCCCTCTCCGCTGGAGGAAGTGTCGAGTTAGACACATGTAACCAGAAACACCGGAAGTTAGACTATGAAAGCTTCTCTTTACAAAGACGCACATTGTTGTATCACTAAAATAACGTTGATTATAATACGTATCAATAAACTTTAAACAACGCATAAGAAAAATACTTTAACAGTGAGGTTACTTTTAAGCAATATTTGTTCTTTTTCTACTTATTTTGGCAGTCAAAACCGGAAACAAACCTGTTTTCTATGTGACAAATACAGGCGGATGCATGAGCTTTGGGTCTAACATAGACTTATAAAACCTAGATACGTCTATGAGCAACATATTCGCAGTCTTACTCTTAATCAGAGCTCAAATTCACACTATGCACATTTTTGAATGTTATTTCATTGATGAGTTTTGTCCAAAACTCACCAGATTACATCACGACTGCCTTTCAGAAGTGGATTTAGAACTCTTTGCTTTGCAGCTGATTTAGTGGGATCATGGAGAGCATGTTTCGTTTTTCTGCAAATGTTGAGCGTTAAATGTAGAGTTTACATGCACAACATAAACCTCCCATAAACAATGAAGGAAAGCCACAGTTCATACTGTAAAAACTAGTAGGCTGGAATATCTACATTGATCTGACCTATGGTTTGATCATAGTTAATCTTAGAATCAATACCACCCCAAAATTAATCTAGTTGCTGTATCGGACAAAAATAAACAATAAGAAATAAAACATCACGCTGTTAGGGGTTTTATCTATTTTGTCAAATAATCTTTCCTTACTTCTTCTTGAGTGGTGTAGTCAGTCTAAGGGCTTCTAAAAAGGTTTGTTAGGATTGCCAGTTCTCTATCCTATTCTTTAAAACAACATGAGCCTTGTTAATTAATGCTTTAAAGTCACAAAACACCAACAATCCTTGCAAAGGACAAACCTGTTTTTATCCTATTATTCGAGGGCATGACTGGAAGGAACATCAAGAACATAGTAATTGGAAACTACAGCAAAAACAATCAATTTATACAAGATGTGTTCATTTTAATTAGAAAAAATAAAAGCTCCTGAAGAAAACTGTACAAAACATTTACTTTGGCAAAACAAAAAAAATCAATATTTCTGATTTATATACACCAGCTTCACAGTTTAGCACACTGTACATATTGTTACCTGAAAATTTTACAATGTCAAATAGTTGTACTATGTCTAGCTCGAGTGCGTCTTTTGCAGGATGTAGTAGACTAAACTTTAGAAAATAAAACTTCTTGGACTCCCATAAAAGAAAATATTTAGCTTGAAAGACTTACAAATTTAAATGCAATTTAAAAAACAAATAACATTTATTAAGTCTGAAATTATTTGAAACAATCGTCTTTAAATGTGGACAAAAATATTAAAATGGAGTTCAATACACCCTGTTGTACTGCAAAGAACACAAACCTTTTAGTCGCCACTCCCGCTTACATGGTAAACAACTATATTAAGGCTGTAAATCAATATTGAGGTATTTGTCTTGTCTTAAAAATAGTTACATACAGAAATGATGGTCAATGTGGTTTAGTAAATTTTCAGCTTCTGACGTTTCTACAAATAGATGCCACTTGATTAATACAACTTGTGACAGCAGGAGGGACGTTCTGTGGAGCCTCTCCTCTCCACTCTGCCAAAGCATCCAGGGCTTGTTTGGGATTGCAGGGAGACAACTCATAGATGCAGTAAATAGCTGCTAACTGGACCGTCCAAGGCACCCCTGCAAGAAAATGATATAGAATGATTAGAACACTTCTGAGAATCTTTGCTTCACCATTTCTCTTAACGTTTTTGGTCTGTTTGGTTAGGTCACCACAGGTGAACAAAATGTGTCAGTTGTCGCTGAAGCCCCATACCTTCAGCTTGTCCATGCCTTCCGAATGTGTTGATGGTATTGGCCACAGTGACCAAAGAGGAAACAGAACCTTCTTTAAGGCCCAGCTGACCGAGCCGTCCTGTTTAAACACAAATGTAATCAGACTCTCATCTGTCTAATCATAATCCATTTTAAACATTAGTTCAAGTTGGCATTAATATACAAGGAAAGAAACAAACCGCAGACCTATGAGTCGAAGTACAGTAGCAGCAGTCTCATCTCGAACTGGTTCTTGCTGATCTCTTGGTTGTAGAACCCAGGTGTTCATTAACGGCCACAACTCTTTCCTGACAGAATAAAATGAACAACAGCATCCATAAATAAGAATATCATGAAAAATTTATTCTGATTATGTCCTATGTCAAGTATTTATTCACTGTTGTGATTTTGGTCAACAACTAAAGAAACCCAAAATTTTCTAAAACAACAACTTGATTAAATGCTTTGGCACTTTTCTACTCATACCAACTGCATTAAGAACACTTACCTATTCGTATACTGATACAAAGAAACACATCTTTGGGTTACATACCTCACCCAAGAGCATACTGACATGTGGTAGGGGTAGATGAATCCTCCATAATTTTGTATGCCATATTATATTCCAATTTCAATGTTTTTCTTTTTTTTGTCGTAAAATTTTAATTTTCAGAGAAATTAAGATTTCATTATCTGTCAGCCATAAATATCAAAATGATAAGAAATATATCCCTGAAATATTTCACTCGTGTGTAATGACTCTAATATATATATACTTTATGAATTTATTCACAGAGTTCTAATGAATTCTAATGAATTAAAATGTAATTGTTTAACTTTTGTAGTAGAACAAACAAGAGATACTGAACTTGTAAATACAAAGAAGGTCTGGAAAGAAAGAAAAATATAAAAGCATACCTCAGGATGTGTTCATAGGTCCATTCCCACTTTTTCTGTGAACAGAGGAGATGCAGTGTGAAGATTTGTTCCCAGGCTCCAGCTCCGAGGTCTTCTCCGTAGCGCAGATGCTTCGTAAAAGACTGATTGTTTCCTGAACGGAGTTCCGTCAGAGTTCTAAGTATCAGCTGGTCAAGGTCACAAGGAGGATTCTATGTTGATGATATAAGGGAAGACATGGTTTCAGTAAATCACAGAAGATTCGGATTGCCAAACATCATATAACTAATGACGCCATCACCAAGCATCACACCGATGTTGTTTTTAACAGGAACGCAGTTGAATAACGAGTGAGGCTCCTGTACTAATTGAAGCCACTAAAAACCCACTTCTTGAGAGTTGCCTTTGATGAATAATAACTGGAGCATGGGTTAATTCTAAAATAATTGGTTACTGTGTTTTCATTTTAACATCATTAAACTGCTTTGTTGCTGCTATGTGTCGACGAATTAAATATTTGCAAAATAACCCAATTGCAAAAAGTCATTTTAGCAGTATACCTTTTCCCATCCAAGGAAAGCAGCCAGGCAGCCAAGAAGCCCTTCTGGTGCTTTTAGTTGGGTAATAACATGAATGGCCTGGCACGGTAAGCTGCTGTGTGTCAGAACGTTGGGCCATGTCGTCACCATAAACAAGACCAGTTTTGCTGAATCTGGGAAATCTGACAAAGGTAAAACAGCATAAAATAAGTCATCACAAAATTTGAAAGTTAGATATAAAAAGAAAAGGAAAAAAGATTTTAGGACTCATTTATATGTTAGATAATTTAAGCCCAATTGTGTTTTACAGTGGAAGTACACAAATATGAATATTAGTTGTCTGTATTAAAAAAAAATAAAAAACTGCCCACCTTCGACAAGAATGCTGTAGGCCAGAATACGAGCCTTCTCCCAGTACTTCTTCTGTCTACAGATGCCTATGTAGACTCGACAGAGGGCTTGTAAGTAGTTTAGACAAAGTGCATTCTTTTCAGCCTTTAGTTTGGTCAATATGGCCACAATCATTTCATCTACCTGGAGATGGTGAGAGGAAACACATTTAAAATTTGCATAAGAACAATATCTTTCTTTATTAAAGGGGCATCACTATGTAAAGTTAACATTTTTTTTAAAAACTTTATATCATACTATAGTGTTATTCCCTCATTAAAAACACACAGACATGAACATTTACTCTGATACTGATATTTAATATTAATATTGCAGTCTTGGTCAATAACTGATTTTTACCAATATTAGACATGCATATTTCTCTACGCTTTTCACGCCTTGAGATATACCCAACAGCTGACTTTTGGTTCTCTGCTTCAATTAAAACACCCCACAATCCTGTGCTGTATCACTATCACACGATCAAACAAATACTATACAACCAATAATCTTCCTCTGCAGAAACTCAAACAAAAAATACCAACAAAAAGGAAATATACATTATCAATATCATCCGAGGAGTTTTAATTTTCTCTACATAAAACAGTATAAGCTCACTGCATGTTAATCATTTTGCATCATGTTTGCCATGAACCCTAACTTAGTTTGTTGATTAATCAAGGATTCTCTAAAACTGTAACACTTATTTAGTCAAAAATGAGCAGAAACAGAGCATTTAAGAAATAGTCTGCATCCCAAGTTTAGCCAAAGTCAGCCATTAATGGGTATACTCACCAAGCTACATCTGCATATGTCAGAGATGACCTCTTTCTCCTCTTCTCTCAGAATAGGCTTTTTGGGCAGTTTACCAACATAAAGGTGACTCTGGACAACAGGCAGTAAATCGAAACATTGTTTTTTAATTTTGTCTAAATAGTCAACGATAAGATCCTGCTCAGCTGGTTCTTCAAATTCTATGCATGGAAATGCTGTATTGCTTGTCGTCTGATCTTTTGCCACAGTACTGGAAGAGGCTGCTTCATTGCAACTGTGTAAGGAGGACTCCTGTTTGTCAGTAACATCTGCATAACTGCTGTCAAGCTTTGGGAATTTACTATTTTTGGACTGGGACGAATCGCCAGCAGGTCTTTTTTCTCCCCTGGTCTCTGTTTTTGTGAAGGCTGTTGAAGCAGAGCTGATGGTTTTGAAGCCTGATCTCTGATTGTCCGTTGTTTTTGGTAATACTCCATTCTCTGATGAGCACATGCTAAGATTGACATTACATTTCAAAATGTTAAGAGTCCAGGTGCAGACAGAGGAACCGGGGTCCATGGTATTTAGAATGCTCATGGAGTTTTCTTGAGGTGGACTGGTCGAAGACGAAGGGGAAGAATTAACTGTTATGGCAGGCAAGCGACCAGGAACTGGTAACGCATGTTTAGGAGTGGCTGAGCTAAACTGGAGCGGTGAAGAGGGGACTCCATTTGGATGGGTTGGACTGGTCAGGGAAGAAGAATAGCTGAGCTGCTGACCGTTGGGTGTTGAAAGGAATTTCACTGGAGTGGTAGAAGCTGAGCTATCCATCGGTGAAGGAAATGAAAGTTTTCCAATTGCGTGGCTTGGGTTGATTGGCTTGCCTGCTTTAGGAGGTGTTGTTATAGGGGTCAAGACAGGGGGAAGTGGAGGACCCATTTCCAAAAGAAGTTGGCCGATGGACTCTGGTGTTTGAGTTGCTAATGGACTGCCAAATGGTGTAACATTTTCCTCAACATTTGTATGTAAATCTGGCTGTTCATGGACTGGTGTAAATGTCTCCAAGCTCTGGTTTTGTTCTTTTCTAGCAGAAGTAGTAGAATCAGAGTGGAGTTTGTTGACAATTTCCTTTTCTGAGGTGAGTAGATTGTTCTTTGCAACTTTCTCTTTGTCCTGAGCTTTTTCCGGTTTTGGGTCAGTTTCCACAGGAAGCAGTTTTACTTGAGACGACTGACTTGAAGAACTTAACAGTCCTTCATGTAAATCTTTGTCTTCCAAAGATTTACTGTCAACTGTTATTTTTTCTGGGGACAATAAAGAAGCACTATCAGGTGTATTGGTACTTTTTGCTTTCTCTTTGTCAAAATCCTTTGGCGACAAAGCTGTAGAATTTACTTTTTCGTGTTCCGGGTCAGTACAGAACCCCTCAACTTCTCTTTTCAAAACCGGAGACTCTTCAGGAGACAAAGGTTTATCACAGACATTCAGGTCTGAGGGTGAAGCTGTCACGTCAACATCTCTAGGAACTTGCTCTGCATTCTCTTCATTATCCTCGGAGCAATGGACTCCAGCATCTACTTCCATTCCCTCTTCAAGGTTTTTATTTAAGACACAACTCATGTTGTCACTGCTGCTTGGTGGGGATTCCTCTGGCATTTCTGAGTCTTTACAGAGAGCCCCTGAGGCAGTGAGATTTGCACTGTCTTGACAAGAATCCACAGGACCTATTTGGCCGTCTGTGACACTGGTGTCTTCAGAAGATTCTTTGCTTTTAAATTGGCCAACAAATTGATAATTTTCTGCGTCTCCAGTGTTTGCAGTTGCCTCTCTTTCCCCATCAGTAACAACTGTTGTGACATCAGGAATGTCACCAGGACTCATATCTACATCCATCTTTATAGCAGTATCCAAATTGTCTTCTTCTGCCTTTTCAAAAGCCGTTCCAGTATCACAGATATCTGTACTTCGGGTGTTGGGATTTTCACTATGGGAATGCTCCATATCTTCACCTGGTAATGGGAGACCTTCTTCTGAAACATTACTATGTAATAATAAAGACTGTGGCAGTTTGGGTTCGAACACGTTTTTTAGAGAACTGCTGTTCTTATCTGAGCTTTCATTCAGTTCAGCACCACCACCCAACCCACAGTGTCCAATGTCTTTTTTATCTGAAATGTGTTCCAAGATGTCCACATTATCTTTTTTGTAAAGTGACAGAGATTTTGGACTGTTAAGATGTAGTGGTGATGTTTCAGAACTCGAAGGCTGATCTTGTTTAGGAAGTTGAACATCCTCAGAAAGTTCAGGACTGTCATTCTTTTCCTCACCATCCGTCTCTTTTGGTGAGATGGATAGTGCTGCATCACCTTCTACACTGGTGTCCTGAAAGATAGAAGCAAAAGTATTGCAGTGAAATAAACTCTGTGTATAAAAACAGAATTATTTAATAGGTCACTGTATACAAAAAGGATGACTTCAGTATGTATATGAAGCTGCACATAGCTTAAAAAAATAACAAAACTTCTCACCGATTCTGAAAGTGGAGATATGCAGGGTGGAAGTGGTTTAAAAAAATCCATTATTTCATCAATAGATACATAAAGGTTGCCTTTGATGGGAGACGACTCATTATGTTTATTTTTGTTGGGTGACTCTTTGCTCTTTTTCAGTGTGTTGTCTTGATTCAAGTGGTGGGTAGATGCTTGGTGCTTGCATGTGCCCTTGTCCTGCACTCGAGGACAAGGTTTCAACTTTGTGAGAGCAGATTGGGTCTCGACATGATGACTGGTCTCAGAAGTAGAGGTTGACATTTGTTTTTCATTAGCCCGCAGTTTGGATTGTGGAGAAGGAGGAAGGGCCAACCTATAACCAAACTCTAACATAAAAGGCAAACAAGACTGTGAGAACATAAAAAGATGTGCATTTCTGTATTATCATACAAGTGCAGAAGAGGTGTGAATGATGACCTCACCTGGTGACGTGGATACGTTTGACGATTGCTCATGCTCTGAATCCACACATTCCCATAAACTCTGCAGCAGCAGTCGCACCTTTCCTGTAAAGTAAGTAGAGAGATTTTTTACAAAGAAAAATTACTTTTGGGGTTAGGCTTAGTTGTGGTGCAAATTGAATGAATCATCATAAAAAGAGCCATCATCATACCTTTGTCAACTTTTGGTTCTGCTCTTGTTTGAGTTGTAGAGCTCCTATATTCTGTTTTTTTAAGACACAATTAGATTATTTACGATATTTTTGATGGAAAGTTATTTAATTTATAAGCAAAAAATTAAGCAAACACTATATGTTTGTTTTGCTTCTTAATTCCCAATTAACAGTAAAAATGAAATGCAATAACAAATAAATAAAAAAAATAAAAGGTTATGCATTCTGTACCTTTACATCGTTCTCTTTCCAGTTTTATCAGTCGCACCTACAAAATTTTTTAAAGACAAACAATCAGTTTGAATATTTGCTCCCCCACTCCCTGGTCCTCAAATCTGCATTTCCCTTTAGTGTTTTCACTGTACCTGGAGGTCACTAATGTTCCTTTCAAGCAGTATCTTCTCATTGGTCAGCTGAGATATTTGATAATTCTGTTTACAAATCGAGTCTGAAATAATTTCAGAAGTAGAGTTAAGAACCCGCCAAAGAAAAAGCAAACTGTCTCAAACCAACAGACTCGGCAGATAAAGTTTCAGCTTATGTCAGAAAATACTTCTGAAAGTACTAATGACTAAATCTCACCTTCGAGCACTCTAACTTTGTTTTCCAGACTATCCTTCCTGTCAATCAGAAAAGAACATTGCATAACCATTACCAATGACAGCAAAAATACACACCAAGTGTGAGTAGGTTGGAAACAGTTGTTCTTCAGGCACAAAACAAACTGAACTCTTACATGTTTGTCATGATGGCATTCTCCTTTGTCAATGTATCAACCTTCTTGGCTTGTTCCTGAGATTCTTTTAAAGATGCCTGATTTGAAAAAAAAAAAAAAAAACGTTTACAAATATATTGAGGAGATTAATGCTTTGGTCAGTAAAATAATCATGAATTTTTGATGTTTGTTTATGTTTTACCTGAGTTTTTAATAAATCATTTTCAACAGCTGCTTTCTCTCTTTTCACATGTGCATTTTCAAGACCCTGTGTTTCTGTCAAATCTGAGAGTTCAACACACACAAAGAAATACTTAGCAAACTATTAATATCGGAGAAGAATTTACTGAAAATAACTGCAATTTACCTTTCAAACATTTCAGCTCATCTCTCAGCGTTTCATTCCTAAGAAATAAGAAGAGTTACAGTGAGTTTTTCATTATAACAGAGACCCATATACCCTAACAATATCTCAAATTAGTTGTTGGACCACATGTGACAGACCAGAAGAAAATAATGCATAGATATAACATAAGAATTCAGATTTGTTTTTGTAATAAAATGAAATTATGAAAACTATAGATTGAGTTTATTTTCACTCTGAATCAAACTCCCTTATAGCTGCTCTTGTCGCTGCAAGTCTTTTGGAGTATACTTCTCCTAAATTTGCAAATGACAAGTCTGACATATTCCACCCAAATGAATGCAAGCAAATACTATTTTGTGGTGATCAATCAGACACAACCCCAATTAAATACAATCCAGTTTTTGTACACCACATGACACAATATGGAGAATTTCAAAGGGTAGGAGAACTGGAATTGCAATGAAAATGGTCACTTACTCAGTCAACATGTTGATATTTTCCTGCTTTAATTTGTCCATCTCTTCAGACAGCTGTTCATAGGCCTTAAGTGCATCCTATAAAAAAAAAAAAAAAAAAATATATATATATATATATATATATATATATATATATATATATGTGAGTTATGTTTTGTACATAAGAAGCAAAAGGCAGATTAATTTCAGAAAAGTATTTTTTTATCTTTTGAGGAGAAATAAGACCTACCGTCTTCTCTTCCAGTTCGGCCTGTACGGATTCATAATCTGCTGTCTTTTTCTCCAGTGTAAACAACCGCATCTGCAGTTCCTCCAGTTGCTCTCGAAGCCTGATGGAGTCACTGCAAACATTAAAATGTAATGAAAAAAAAAATGGACACTTTTATAAAAATTTAAAACAAAATGAAAAGCAGTAAAGTTGCTTTTCACTTATTATTAATGATTATCACTAATTCTTTTGTGCCACATTTTCTTATGAGTAGTGCTGCTAGAACACAAGACTGGCCGATATTAAAAAGCAAATATTTATGCAAAGTGAAACTAAATGCATAGAGATTAGCAAAGTGAAAGAACAGAATGGAATCCCCGCCTTAACTCTATTTTATACCTATAATTATGAAAGCAATGGAACATATGTCATAACAAGAATAACAACAGATAGAAACAATTTAGTTACTTTAAGCTTAGTCTGTCTTTTATTCTTTTGAAACTTTTATCTCGGCTCCTGTAACAAGCGGATTTATCTGCGTTTGGCTGTTTGGAAGCGTCACCATGACAACTGATCTTGAAGCCAATACTCACTCGGTACCTGCTATTTTCTGTTTCAGAGCAAGAAATGATGCGACGTACTCGGTTAGGCTCTGCTCAACAAAATAAGAGACACACAAAAATATTCAGGTGTAAGTATGTGTAATCATCAACATGATAAATTCAGATCTGAGACTGTTAACGCAGTTAAAGACTAGAGAGTCTTTAAAGTGTCTTTCTTGTCCAAGAAAACAAGACTAACCTGGTGCAAAACAGAGCAGTTCTGACAGCTCCCAGCAGTCGCATCCGCGGCTATTGCTGCCGCTTTGACCTGACTGTCTCCTGGCATCATGGCAGGACCATTAATTCCACCACGACGCACAATGTACTTAATGAACAGAATTTCAATTAAAGAACCAACGCTCGGTGTCACATATTCCAAACGTTTTCGCGTCTCCCACGTTGATCAAGGCCCCAGTTTGGACCCTCCAAAGAAGAGGAGCTTCGGAAAAACGCCTGTCAAGTTTGTCACTTCATTTTCCTCTCTATAGTCTTCATTTTTACTGTATAAAAACAACAATAGCATCCTTAGACAGGTTTAATGTATGTTTGTGTGTTTGTGTTAGCTCTGAGTTTAAGATTTGTTTTATGCCATGGCATTTTCATTCAGGCAGTTTGTTGTGGCGAAAAACTACACGGTACGATTGCGACTCAACATGTACCCTGTAGGGGTCGCATTTAAGTTTAATTTTACCGTTTGAATTATAATTTGCGGCGCTTAAATTTGACATAGTGATAAAAAAAAGTGATTCAATGTTTATATTGAAACAGTATGTTGGTGTCAAACGATATTCAGTGCCATAATACATCTCTCTATGTCGCTGGTATACGTTCGAAAACATTGCTTAGCTAATGCTTTTATTTATTACATATTTATTGTTTCACTGGAATGAGAAAATATGAGAGCGAAATAAAGAATATATTGCAACTGTAGTTGCGGGTTTTGACTGTGTTTAACTATCCAGTATTCGATAATGTTGGTCGATTGTTGTCATGTGAGCCCGACTTGAAGTAAATGCTACTCAATAGTATACAGCACACAGCAATATGTACCACATTTCATTGAGGTTACGTGATAAAAAAAATCTCGAAGAACACCACTCCCTGGTGGTCTAGTGGTTAGGATTCGGCGCTCTCACCGCCGCGGCCCGGGTTCGATTCCCGGTCAGGGAACTACCTTTTTTTTTTTCTCCACACTGTGTTGCCTTTACGACAATGGTCGAATTAAAACGACCTAAAATAGGGTCAGGGATACCAAAGAGTATTGATAAAATTGAAAAGCAATTTATGCTCCTTCACTACACTGAAAAAAGTGTGTGAAGAGGTTTTATTTGTATTAAATGATGTTCCTTCATGTGTCATATAAATGTAATATTTTTTGAATCACAGTCAAGGTGTTTTTCTGTGCAGCTGGAAATGGTGTAGAAACTAATGTATCATGATGTGTCTACTGAAGTAAGTTTCCAGGGTTGCTGAATTTTCCCAGACAGTTATTTGGGACCTTCCTGTTTTTCCCGTGGCCTTCCCTGCATGGAGATAGAGTGTTTAGTTTTCACCTCCCATAGACATTACAGTGAATGAGCATACAAGGTTTCGTATGTTTTCCTTTGTTTCTTTTGTTTGCTCTTCGAAGATTGAGTCTCCGCCTCGGTAGTAAAGAGAGATGAATAAAGTAACTATGCAACTCTGAGTTCCTCAGAGCGGATCCTAATTTGTGCCTAATGCAGTGTATTTCTTGCTCTCCGTCTGCAGATGTATTAAAGATTGTTTTTGCTCCCTGACTTTTGTCTGGACCTCAGTCTCTGAATTGTGCACTTCACAAGTGTGATCAGGGTTAAGTAATATTTACTAAATAAATAAGAGCAAATTATACATAATAAAAAAGACTGTGTGCAGTTTGGACTCTCACCGAGCTGAATTATACAAATTTAGAATATTTTTTAATTTCATTTTACTGTTTTTATTTAAATAAAATCAGCAGAAAAACAATAAGTAGAATTTATTTATTTATTTTCAATGGTAAAGTCAAAAGTGCAGAAAATTTATAAATTTTACTCATTGGGAGTAAAATGAGTATTCCCAATGAGTACTTTATTTTTCCCGCCCCAAGGCATTTGAACATCCAGTCTGCTTGGCACTTCATGGACTACCGTTTACTTAAAGGTAAGACATGTTTTAATTGTTCTTAGTTAAACAATTCAAGTGTCTGTAGCAGTTAAACATTGTCTTAATTTACTGCAAAGGATTCGAAGTCAGTCTACGTCGTCTTTGATTTGACTGAATGCATTGCAATGATTGAAAAAGTAGTCTCAATGTCACAATTTAATGTGACTAAAGTAATATCGATAGTGGCCGTAAGCTACTCTTTTATTTAATGTAGTTTTTGGCCTCAGCCCAAGCTCCCCCTCCCCCACCTTAACAAGCTAGCTAGCATGTTTGGGGACCATAATGGAGGAACAGACGTTGTTTTCAACGGTGAGAAGGCTAATCAACTTAGGAGTTTCGTTTAAAGTTACTGCATTTTGTTTTTACAATTAAAATGTACTCAAGTAACATTTTCACTCAAGTAGCATGTCAAAAGCAGATTTCTAATCAGTTTCCATAACGTTACACATTTCGGAAAAAACATCTGCCGTTTTACATTTTGAGACAAAGTGCGCTGTTTCTTCTTTTAATTTGGCGTTATTTTCATGGAACGTCTGTTATTGTGTTTTGAGCACAATGGCTGGTGTTTTGCTGAACCCAAGTTCACCGGCTCTCACTGAGGCTCCATTAACGTTACGTTATTTGCATTCAGATGGCACAAACGGCTACCTCGTTTTTCCTGTTATCTCGGAAAAACGTTCTGCTTTCAAACTGTGGTTGCGGCTCACACTGACAGATAAACAGTCACAGTGAGATGCGTCAGTGAATGTTGGGTTGAAATCAGTACGTAGAGCTTCGTACTGACTGCTGCCACAGAGAGAGTGAGAGAAATGTTTCCTTAGTCCGTTTTGGGCGGCTTTGATTTTAATATTTATTGTTTGGCATTTGTTGATGTGCATATTACCTTAAAATCTATTTCATATTTTTGTCTAACATCTTAAAACGATAGTTCATTTTTTGAAGTGGGATTGGATGAGGTATTCATTCATAGTTGGTATATTATAGAGCTGGATGATTTTGAAAAAAAAATACTTAATTGTGATGATCTTTTCAGTGACATTACAGTTGCGAAATGATTTGCAATTGTTTTCTTATTTTCATTGAAAAAATTAATATCATTATGGCGTGATTCTTGCAGGGATGGTTTTTTTTCTATAGATTATGATGTGTAGGCCAGGACATCTTTGCAGCAGGACATTTAACTTAAAATAGTTTTTTTTTATGATTTAGGAAATATTGTACCTCCTGTGATTTGAAAATCGCAGTAGGCTGTACTGCAATTTTGATAAAATGTTTATTAATTGTTCAGCCCTGGCACATTATTTAATTACTAGATCTATTGGTGATGTAGGCTACTAGTTATACACTAATTTAAAAACACCTTTTTTTCTTATTATCTTAGGTTCTGGCCTATGGGGTGGCAGTGTAAGATCTGCAAGTCTTTGTCTGGAACAAAGGGAATCTACTAAAACATTACAGACTACAACACGCAACATTTGGTCGTGGGCAAACCCAGCCATGTCTATATGACAGTTGCCCTTGCACATTTAAAACACAGGTTGCCCTTCGCACACATTTGTCCAGGTATCATACAGCTCATGTCAGTATACAGCCAGGAATCATCTCTGCTTTTAAGTGTTTAGTTTGCAGTGCTAGTTGTTCTACAGAGAAGGACTACTTTCAGCATATAGGAAATTATATAAGAATATATTTAACTTTTGTCTTCTTTTCGGGATGGCAGAGATAGAGGCAAAACTCAGAGTAATAATTGACGACCGAATTGAGAAGTTGGTCCTTCCATCAGGAATCCCGCCCACTGTGGAGGAGCTGCATAATATTGTGAAGGAGACCTTTGGGATTTCTACTGAGTCCAGTCTTCAGTATGTTGACTTTGAATTTGAAGATTACTTTACTCTTCACAACAGTGATCTTATCAAACACAAAGCCACCATAAAGGTTGTTCACACTTCTCCTATTCTTCTGAATTTGTATGCAGCTCATGAAAGTTTGGACAAAGGAACAAAGGAACTGTCACAGTCAGTGACAATGCAGAGTCAACTGCATCAAATGGAGAGTCATCTGCTGGAACATCTTCTTCACAGGACACCATTATTCTGTCTGGGCGCAGTACCACAGAACGCTGTGAGTCATGGCCAAAGCACTTCCCCATTCCACAGTTTGCATACGAAACTGAGATGTACCTTGAAAGAGGCAATGAGGATTACTAGAAGAATGGAACACTTCTCACTACCTCTAAGATCAAGGCAGACATACTTGAGAAACTGGCTGAAACTGTATACTTATACAGCCTATTCATCAGGTTCACAGATGAGTGATGTTGCTGAGGCCCTTGTCAATAAATATCTTTGTCTCAAGGAACCCGGTTCTTTTGCAGGTTACTATGGCTGGCAGCAAAGCCTTAAATACAAGATGTCAAATTATCGCACCAAACTCAGAGGCTACGGCACAGGATGGCACAGGAAGGATCCTTGAGCTTATTAACAGTAATATAAACCACCCGGTGTTTATTTTTTTCATTTCAGACTCCAAGCAATCCTGACATCAACATGACAAGAGATGTTATCATTCGATGTTTGATGATGTACCTTGGGGTATCTACAGATCAACTCTTAAAAAAGTATGATGTAAGTTGAAGTAGATGTTAAAATATAAAGTAGGTGATTTCTGTCATCTCTTCTACTTGGTATTCGTTGGAAAGTCAAATCACAAAATAGTCATAACTGTATTTCTCCCAGTAGTTCTTGGCAAGCTATATCATTGTCCTCTGTTAGGGTGATTCTCACGAACCCAACCTATCTTATAAGATTTTAGGGGCGTACTAAATAAAAACTTTTAAAAATCATCTTTTATTTGAACAATCATTATTTCTAATATTTTTGCAAAGATTGTTACTTACCAAAATAAGTTTTTTTAAAAATGTTTTTTAACTGTTTTTGAAGTCACAAATTCATTACCGTAATGTGTCCTAAGTGGGGAGAAAAAAAACGCTTTCACCTCAATTTATTATTATAAATAATCAAGCAAGTTTACAAAAAATATCATACATTTGTTTAAATGTACATAAAATAATAAAATTTGATAATATGTAACAATTTGCTATTAAATAATTCAGAATATTTTAATAAAAGTCAGTGTCTGGAGGTGCAACTCTCATTACCGTTGCACCATATTAAAAGTCCTGTAATTTTCACAGCATTTTTTTCAATAAAGTTATTCTGATACATGATGCACTACAAAGA